CGCGGTGCCGGTACGCGGCGGGGCTCTGGCTTGCGAGCGAGGTCTCCGGCCCGGGCTTTCGCGCTTGCCCTCCGCTCCGGGGCGTTGGCGTCGGCAGAGCAGCGGCCGGCGTCGAACGGTTGTCGCGGCTAGGTTCCTAAAGGCTTTGGTCTCTGTTAAAGGCTCACAGCGTTTCCTGGTGAAGGTGTTGTGGACCAGGACACAAAATGTGGTTGTGGATATCGCTACCAGATGAGTAAAAAGAACTAGAAAAAAAGCAGATGTAGGACACGTGCGGCATGCGTGGCACTAATACCCCCTGGAATTTTTCTTCTTCTGTAGCGGGATTTAGTTTATGCCTTTGTACTGCTGGGAAGGAAGAAATGGTAATCAAGCAATAGGGCAAAGTAGCATCAGAGATGTTGCTCATCTGCCTGCTCTGTTCTTTTACCTTTTACCCAAGCTCCTTTTTATTCTTTTGCTCCTATTCAATCCTTTCTAGGTCAGACATTCAAAGTAACATCACAGGAAGCTACAAAGCTGAGTCTGGCATTCTCAGGGCCTCCACTGACTTCTGCAGAGGTGAGCAGAAGCCCCCACAGACTGTGAAATTGCAGTGTGTGTGATAAGTTTCAGGTGTCTCTTGGTTCACATGGCTAAAACAAAGTAATTTGGTACAGTGTAGACAAGGGATGTTGGTATGGGCTATGCATTGTGGAGTGTATTAATGCGATTCAAGAACTGCCCAGAGAACTAATAACTGTAAGTTAGGGAGACATACCAAATAGAAGTATTCTTACATTCTTTCCTTCAACCTCTATCAGCTGGTTGCTGATAGAGACAAGGTATTGGATAATACAGACCTTAGATCTAACAGAGAATATGCAATATTTTTACTGTTAATTAAGACTGGTTTCACACCTCTGTTTAGAGGAGAAGAAAAAAAAAACCTCAGTTCAGAATAACAATCTCAGCTACTTCTTCCTCTCTGATGCATGACCACCACACCAGGGTGTGTTTTGTTACCAAATCATAAGGTGGTTTATGATGTGTATACCTTGCTTACTGTGTCGTCTTCTTGTGCTGTATTTTTTTCTCAGCAAGATGGCCATTACTATGCTTCCCTTTTCTCAAAGCAATCTGAATGTAACGGATTGCTTGTGAGACTTTCTAAATGCAGTGCAGCCATGCACTACTCACGGTTAATCTTTTTGCCTGTCCATTTTCAGGATTGCCGGAAGCTGAGCGAAGATGTCCAAAATGCCATTCTTGCAGTTGCCACAGTGTACTACTGGCTCCCCAAGGGCCAAGGTGAGATAGTGACAGCAGGGCAGTCAGCACTATATAAAGAAACACAGTATTTCGTAGCCTAATATGAGATCTGGCATCTGTAGGAAAGCAAGTTACCATGAGCAGGCAGTCCCATTATCAGCTATTCTGTAGACTTGCGACATGCTTATGAGTGAACCACTTGTCTGCCTGCTCCTGCAGAATTCTGTCTGTGAAAGAGTGATAATTTAGGAAGTTGTATCCTTGATTGAGCATTCATGTTTATAAAGTGTTGAGATCTTTGTCCAAAGTCCTTTTGGAACTAGGAAAGATGTTTCTTCCTTCAAAATACCTGTAACTCCATTTATACAGTGTATCTACTCAAACGGAGCAGCGTGTGTGTTCATCTTTGGCAGTTGCTTTCTGTTGGCGCTGACTTGGTGGCAACTTTCTTGCTCTTTCTCGATCTCAACCAGGTACTACTCTTCGGAAGATGGTGCGAGATGCTACCACAGAAGTAGTGGAAGGAATGATCCAACTCACAGAAACAATTCTCAGTGCTCCATTGGAGAGGTAGTAATTTTCCAGAAAAAAAAGGAAGAAAAGGTTACGGGTATACTTGTTAGGAAGCAGCAAGTGCAGACTGCTTCCTAAGGGAAGGGGGGAGGCAGAAGCAGAGCGTTGTTACGAGGCAGGAAGAGGCAGTGGCCTCATCAGCAAAGGCCCTGTCCCCCAGCATCTGAGTGAGCAGAGCAATGCTGTTGAGGGTAGGGAGGTTCAGTTGAGAGTTCAGATCATCAAGACAAGCCCACAGCAATAAGGTCAAGCTGGAAAGTCAGGCCAGCAAGTTAGGATCAAGGTCAGGTCCAGAGAGAATAACCAGCATCAGACACTATCCAGTGATTGCCCAGCATGTCCATTACAATGAGTTGGGTCTGAGGTCAAGGCAGGAAGGTCAAATCAGTGGGTCAGGATCCAGGTCAGAATCCAGGGGGCGTGAGACTGGGTGCAGACATAACTGCTACACAGCTGTGACATAGCACAAGCAGGGCCCAGTGAAAGAACCTCATGGTAAAATCTTCTCCTAGGGTAAGGAAGGGCTGGCCCTTGCTTCTAGCTTTCTTCACAGTACCTCCTATCAGCAAAGGAGCTGACCTTATACTTAGCCAACTAAACTCTTCAACTGAGCCAGCTAAACTCCTAGGAGGGTGGAATACACTCAAGGCCCCGGCAGTACCCTCTTGTCCCAGTGGCTTGAGGCAGGTACATTGCCTACCTGGAGAATAGATTTTCGTTCTGTCTGTGGCAAGGAAGGATGCTGGGAGCAGGATTCCCGCGAAGGCGCTGGATAGCGTTTGCACTGTTTGGCAGTTATTGCTTTGGACTGAACCGTCATACACAATGATGGTGCAACTTTATAAAGCTAGTTATTGGACCACTATGGACAGCTGCTTCTCTTGATGGATTACACGCCACTGCCCTTTGGCAGAGGTCATTAATCGCTAATACAGACTTCTGATTTGCATAGATTCTGAAAGATAAATAATATGCCTAAGCACCTTGAGAGGCCTTTGCAAGAGGCTCCTGTTTCTTGTTCCAGTGGATAATTAAACTCGGTAGGAGCCAGCACTTCTTGCTTTACACAGATACTGGTGATAAGCTGGTTGGTGACATCTTTCCAGCGGAGCTTCTACTAGTGTGCATTGTCCTTGGTGCAGAAAATAAAACCACAGTCTAGCAGAGTGGTGTTATTGAGTCTAACTTTGGGGGACTTTGTTTTGTTTCAGCTTGTCTCAAGATCAGCTTATATCAACTGGTGGTGTGTGGGAGGCATGTGAGCAAGTGTCCAACCTGCCGCGAGGTGAGTATTGTGTATGTAGAACAACAGAACTAGGACATGTTGTCTTGGAATATCAATAGCCCTTGCAAGGGGCATTCCAGCTAGTACAATGAAGGCTCACACGTTCTGCAAAACCCAGCTGTTTTTGAAATGCATAAGCTTGGAAGCCCGGCCATATTCTTTGCATGGCAGTAGTGCAGCTCTGAGCTCTGCAAAAAGTTTGATCCTATAATCTCGAGATCTAATGATCTCAAACCTAGATGACTGTTGTTGCAAGCTGATTTGAATCAGTGCAGTGCCATGGTTTTCATCCTTTTGCAGATAACCAGGCAGCAGTTGCATCAGCTCTGGCTGCATGTCTAGGTGTGGTCAAGGATGCTCTGGAGGAGATGGAACACGTAAGGAAGCCCCTAAGCCTTTGAGGAACCTGCAGTGATGTATTGCAGTGATGGTTCAGCGATGGAACACAGGGATTGTTTTATATACAGGCTTTGATTTAGATTTGTTCTGATATGAGCTAGATTATTGTATTATGCCTGGATCTTAATGACTTTTTAAACTCAAGCCTGGTTTACTTTATATAAGGTTTCCATAAAGCCATGTCCTGAATTGCAAGGGTGGGGGTGGTGTTTAGGTTGATGTAGGAACAGCAGGTTCTTGCTGTTTGCTCTGTTGAATTGGAGTGGGGGATTAGTTTTTCTTAATCCAGTCCTGCTAGGATTAACAGAATTTGGCAACTGAGATGCTGGTTGGAGCGAGATTCCTCCGTAAATTGTATGATTTCTGGATTATGTTTTCCCTTTCCTCCTGGTTATTGCTGGAATTGATGTTAGGCTCTGGGTTTTTAGTGCATCTATGTTCTCAGGCTCTGGTGGAAGGGCAAGACCCCTACAGTGACATCATGGAAGATGAAGAGCTGGGCTTTCGGGGCAACAGAGATACGTATTGGTCAGAAGCTGACCGGAAGCTGCTTAGCTCCTGCATGGGATTAATGAAGGCTTCTAAAGCTTGCCTGAAGAAGGTCTTGGGTGTAGTGAAGGCTTATGGCAAAGTTGATTCTCCAGAGCAGATCGCTCAGCTGGATGATCTTGCAGACATTGCTAATGAGATCAGTCCAAGGTAAGCATGTTTCTCCTCATGCCGCTTTTTGCTCCAGAGCAGCCCCTGTCTTTCTTGAGGTCTGGAGAATGGGTTAGGAAAAACTATGATATTGAAGCTGTGAGCAGGTGGTAGAAGCAGGTGTGATGGGGAGACTATTATGGCATAGGCTGTTGAGAGTTGTGCAAGTTAGGAGAGGAATATATGTTGCAGCTTGGCGTGGAGCTATGGCCATGTCTCATGGCATGCAGATGTCTGAGAAGGCAGTGAGAAGCATCCCATGGGTATGACTGATATTGTCTCCTTGTCATGCATTGTTGTTCCTGACTTACGTTCAGCGTGGGTGTAGGCTTTGATCAGGATCCGTGAGTTGTGCTATCAGGACCTTTATTCCATTGCTCCCCTCTCTTCTATTCTAGTGTTGATGAGCTGGCACTGAGCATGTATCCACCTATGAACCAGTTGACTGTGCGACTCAATGTAAGTATCTGTAGCCTGCATGGAGGTCTACTCATGTGGTGTAGAGAAGGGGAAGAAGTCGAATTGGAGGGATTAGGTGACTGTCGGGGAGAGGTGGCTGTTAGTGACTGTCTCAGAAACAAGTTCTTAGGGATGAAGAGTCCCCTTTGGTTCTTGCACACTTAGCTTCCTTCAGGTGGAAATGCATTCCTCATCTTCTTCATGGAAGAGAATGGCCACTTGAGCTTTGGCTCTGAACCATAATCCATAGACATGTCTAATGACAGTACCTCAGGAAAGTGAGGTCTAAGGCTGCCGATGTACTGCATGTCTATTTCCTTCCTCGGGTAATGTAGACTTGCTCAAATAAAATTACCTACATTAAAAATACAAATTAAAAATTCTGACAGTGAGGGTGATAAAGCACCGAAACAAGCTGCTCAGCGAAGCAGTAGAATCTCCACCTTTGGCAGTACTCAAAACTTGACCAGGCAAGTCTGTGAGCAACCTGACTCAACTTTGAGGTGGGCCTTGCTTTGAGCAGGAGGTTGTACTAGATGACTTCCAGGGGTTCCTTGGATCATAAATTAAGTATGTATCTTCTCATATCTGAGATTTTTTTTATTCTTAATTCTGGTTTCATGCCTTTGGCCGCTGACTTGATTTTTTTGGGATAAAAAAGAAAGTATTGCTTAATATCAGATTGCATTATAGTCAGTTGTAACTTCATGCTTTAATATCAGTTACCAATTTCTAATACGCTTATCTTTTTAAAGGAAAAAGCATTTTAACTTATGCTTTAAAAAACAGCCTGTCTTTATTTTCACCTGTCCCAGCCGGCAGTAGGTTGGGAGACACTCCCAGCATGGCAGTGATGGGTAGCTTCCTTCTGCATCAGTATCTGTGGCAGTTTTGCTCATTCTTGGCTCAGCTGGACATTCCTGCACCCCCCTTTCTTTTCCAGTACTGCTGAGCCCCTTTTTCTCCATGTTTGGCTCACCTTATTTCCCTTTTGTTTCTTTCTAGGCTGCTAAGTTGGCCTCGGTATTAAAGAAAGTCTTAGAGATTACAAAGTGAGTATGATTTACAGTTTTATAGGTGGGTGTTCCCCCCTATGAAGGTTGATATCTTTCTGCCTCCTGTCAAAGATGACTCATTTCTAGACAGTAAATGCTGGCATTTTGGAGTAATTATGATGTTACCCAGTTACAAAGGGTTGGAAGTAAGAAAAGGATGGTAGGGATGAAAGTGGTTTGCACTGAAGGCACACACGTATATGTAAAGGTTTGGGACTAGTGACATGGATGTGGGTTCTTCCTTGCTCAAAGCACTCTGGGGCTATAGCAGTCCTGTTCTAATGCTGTGGAAATTCAGCACTTCACAATACCCATGTGTTTGGATGCATAGGTATAAGACACCCAGGAGGCTTTCCTAATGAATTTCCTCCACTTTTACAGGACAAGCCATGTATGTCCACCATCAGAGGAAGGCTGGGTGCAGTTTCTAACTGGTGCAGTAGATCACAACATGAACAAAATCAAGAACTTCACACATGGTCAACTTTAGCTCTTCCATGTCTACATGTGTTGCTGCCACTGGCTCTGGCATATGCTTTTCCAGTGAATCTCGCTGTTCTCCAACTACTGGGAGAATGATGAGAACAATATTTTTAGGAGAGAACTTTACTGCCACTTGGTAAAACTTTCCCAAGGAGTTGCTCTTTGCCATTGCAGAAGGTGTCATTTTGCTTGAATTCCTGGGATGGTGTGGTGCTGCATCTTAATGCTGTGAATGTGCCCCATTCTGCAGGCATTACAACTACTATGGGGTTCAAAGAACAATAAAATATTGCTAGATTTGCCTGAGTGGTTTTATCTGTTTTCAGGTGGCAGAGAATAAATATATCCAGAAGGAAAGGGTCTTGCTTCTTTTGCAAGCAGCCCAGTGAACCATTAAAAAATATGCAGCACTGCTGCTATTTCCTTTCTAACTTTAGAAAAGAGTGAACTATCTTTCTCCTTTCTATTTCATCAGAAAGCAGTAGAAAATATTATTTACTACTTTACCAATGTCAAGGATCTGTAGGGGGGGGATAAGAGTATCTCTAGAGAAATGCTACATCTATCATAACTTTAAAGTTCTAGGATATCCTTTTTTTTGCCACGGGTAAGGAAAAATGACTAAGCAGGGGTGGGTTCAGCACATATGCATGGTGAGAAATGCTGCATCTGCTTGAGCATTTAGCACATCTTTGTCACAGTAAGGTTCAACTTATAAAACTGGAGGGTGGGCATAGTGGCAGATGGGAGAGAGTTGAGTTTGTACAAATAATCAAAGTCAGACATGGTTTTAAATACAACTTTAATTAAACTGTTAACATCTATGCTTGCCTAAGATCAGGGCACAGATCATGACCACTCTTTTGTAAACAGGACTGCAGGACCTGTTCTAAGTTGGGCATCAGGCAGCTGCAACGTCGATAGTTTTGTAGCTCTTCAGGTTCTGGAGTTGAAGGCAGGTAAGATGTGCAGTGAGTCTTCTGGGCCCTGCTTGGGTGGGGGTGAATGGGATTTGCAGCTGTCGAATGCTTTTAGGTTGCACAGAGTCCAGCCTGAAAGGCAAGAAGGGATTATACAGGAAGCACATCTCTTTGTATTTCTGGTTCCTGGGGCCCTGGAGATGCATTTGCTAGACAGGAGTATGGTGCCAAAAAAAGGAAAGAAAAAAAAAAAAATCTTATCTAAACTACCACGATGGAATTGTGATCTGACAGTAGTTTGGGAGGGATAGATGACAGGAGGGTTGTATTTCCCATGGAGGCATCTATGGTTACTTTGTCCTAATGCAGCTTCTTGAGAGAGATGTGCGAGTTTTTTTCATGTGAAGGAGAGCATGCCTTTTTGGATGACTCTTGGCTAAGTTGGGTTTGCCTGCTTCTTCAGTAGAGAAGGGGAAGACAGTGTTAAAATTGTACCCAGGGACTGTCTTTATTGCTGACAGTGGGTAATGGGTGGAAAGATGTCACAAATGGTATAGTTTTACCCTACTTACAGATGTTCAAGTGGCTAGCAAAAAAGCGATTGATTTCTCAACAACAGCAAATAATTTCTAAGTGTTATAGCTCATTTCAGTAATCTATAACTGTTGTCATCTTTAATGTGTATTTCTGCCTAAGTCTTGTGGTACTTCTTGTTACCCGTTTTGTTGGCAGGGGGCTTTCCTTCTGCTGTCTAGGCCTTTGGGGTTGAAGCTTTCACAAATGTCATACTGGCTTCAACTTACATATTGCACATCTGTTGAAAGTTCTGTTATCTGGCTTTTCTCCTTTTCAGTGTGAAAATCTTACATATTATCTGTAAATTAAGGACGGGATGCCTGGGGGCTTTCATGCTGTAGCAGTCTCTTCCTGTCATGTTGTTGCCTGCTTATTTTTGGGGACAGCTTTTCCTGTGCAAGGTTTTCTTTAGCTTGTATTGTGTCTCTTTTTGCATTTACCATTTCCATTTACCATTACCATTTCCATTTAGATCAATCAGTTTGCACTTACCTGTACTGTCTTTGTTTGTAAATGAGCCCTCGCCCTGTCACCACTATCACACACTTCTCCAAGGGTTCGGTGAGAGGGTTCAGGAGGCTGATCTTTGCTATGCTTGGCTGATACTGTACCATGTTTTCTGGAAACTGTTGAAAGAAGGAAATGAGCTGAAACTGAGAGAAGGAAAGAGCTGCTTCTATGATTAAAGGGAGATAAATGACTTTTTGGTGCCAGAGGTCTCAGCCTGAGCTGTCAGTTGCCAGAAGAGGCAAAGTCCAGGTTACTTTCTTCTCGACTACAGTCTTCTGCTGCAGTTTCCTTCTGCAGTCTCTGATTTCTAGACTGGTGAGTGAGTTAGGAGTCATTGGGATTTCCTTACGCTTACACATAGACAAGGTAGGCATGGGAGTACTGTATACAACGGTGTGGCACAACTCACATTTCCCAAACTGATGTCTCAGTACTTTGAAAGAAGACAGCATGAGGAGAGCCACCCAACCCAGCAGAATTTTTTTGCTGCTTATGACTATGAAAGCTGTTTTCTCACTACTGCAGTAACAGAGTGATAAACTGATCTAACCTCAATAGTGAGAGCAGGATCACAAATGCTGATCTCTTCCTGTGCAAAGTATATGTAGAAGGAGTCCTCGACTCTCAGCATGGCAGTCAGCCTAAGCAGATGGTTCTCTCCCAACTCTTTTCTGTACTGTGAGTAAGGCACAGAGACCTGCAGGTTGTTAGCTGGAATAGAGAGTGGTGAAATACAGATGTCAATGCAGATGATAAGTACAGTCTGGTTGTAGCCTGTGTGGCACCTAGGAGTATTTAGTGCCCAACATTGTACTAAAAGCTGCAGCATTTAAAAGCTTAAGTGATCCCAACTGGATTTGCAGATTCAAAATCTCTATGGTGATGTTGCCAGAGCGTTTTATTTCAATCGCCTACAATGAACTATTCCGCCAACCTTTTGTAAACTTATGGCTAATTCTGAAGTGAGATGACTAGATATACTTTTCTAGCCATGCACCCAGTACAGTCCTTACCTTCATTGCTTTTGAGGATAAAATGAAACTCTTCCTTCCAAAGTTGGGTAATGGACACACCATTATAATGTAGAGACTGGGCCCCAACTATCAGGTCAGTAGCTTTTTCTCCACCACTGTGGTTAAACATTTCAATGGAAAGCAGAACATCTTGTCCCAGTAGCAGAGAACTCTGTGACTGGAGGTAGATGAAAAGGTTAGGCTCTTCGAGGGCAGTAGGAATGGAGCTAAAATGTGTTTTGCTGCTGCTGCTGGTTGTCTCAAGTTTCTTTATATTTCTGTAGGCTTTGTCAAATACTTCTTTTCCCTGAAGAGAACCTGTCACAAAAGAAGGGAGCACATATTTTAGTATTCTTTCCTGTTTACTAGTGTGAAGCAGTAAATGCAGAAGGATGGCGTTGAATTATCCTGGCAGTACTGTAGATAACGGTTTCTAAAAGCATAGAGAGATATCCTGTTGTGCTTCTGGTTGGAGCGGTTCAAGAATTTCAGCTGACAGGACATTCATTGGATGTACCTGAAAGATTTTACTTGGAAAGATATGTCATAGTTTTTAAAGCACCTTGGTGTTAACATCTGTCAGAGTAAAAGAGGCTGTAGCTAGGGCACGGTACTGTGTTCTCTTGTGGTGGACTGCTGCCAAGGAGACAACATGCCATAGGCTAAGATGAGATGGTAGGCTTGCGTCAGGGAAACAGAGCTCGGTAATAGGTTCTAAAGGGGGAGCTGCTTTTTGAGGGGGGGATTGAGACAATGTCTGGGAGTACAACAGTCCTTTTCAGAAAGCTGGTATCTGAAATATATCTATATATATATTATAAGGGTAATGGGAGGTGAATGTACAGAGTGTACAGGTAACAGAAATCAGGAAAGAAGGTTTTCCAGACAGGAAAGTGCGTGGTGAAGAAAGGCGTGGCCTTCTAGAGAGATGGTTAACGTAATTAAGCAGGATGAAATTTGGGGTATGACCTATGCTTTGATTCTGTAGACAGCAAGACTAAGGTGTTCCTGTGCCATTCAGGAAGGGGAAGTAGTGAGAAGTGGATGACCCTAATGCTCTGATATGGCTCTGTTCTCTAGTCCTTTAATCTTCACTTGTAACACTGGCAGGGAATGGGCTCAGCCATTTGCCTACCCTGTACCTTCAGGATACTTGTAGCTGTGTGTGATATCCTCACAGCGTTCACTGCCCACGCTCTTGGTGCTGATGTTGTTGCCAATGTACTTTGTGCCACCAAGAGCTGGCTTGAGGGTGTCATCTGCTTTTTGTATCCAGACCTGGCACTTGGCATTGAGGGCAGCAAAGAAGTAGCAGACATCATAATCAACTTCTGTGTCTCCTTTCTTGATGGCTTGAACAGGGGCTGGCCCACAGAAGGATGGACCTGAAAAGAAAATGAGGCCCATTTAAGATTCAGGTGTTTTACCAACCAGACCCATGCCTAGTTTAGACCTATATTGGGAGTGGTGAAGTGTCTAGGAGGACATTAGGGAGCAGTGCTGTGATAGAGCTCTTAGAGCTACACAAACTGCACAAACCAAACATGAATGATGATTTAGTGCTTAAAGTCAACGGGGTGAGTCCCTGTCCTTTTGCATCCTTCCATTGGAAGTTGGGGAAGGGAGGAGTATTGAACTGCTTTATTTGCTTCCTGCTCAGCTCCCCCCACCCCCCTAAGCCTGGCTTTGATACCTTACCTGTGCTTTTTTCCTGGCAGGTGGCATCCAGTGCCTGCCACCCGCTGTACTCTTGTAGCAAGTCCGCTCGTGCCATCCAGCATTCGTTCCAAACGTGGAAGGTCCTGCAAGAGACAACATCATGTGCTTATACCAAGGGACTGAGCCCTGAGGTACAGTAAAGTTTTAGCCAAACCATAGCCAATTAACGCTCCTTTGAAAGAGCTCAGCGCATGCTGAGGAGAGCAGAGACCATGGGTTTTGACACAAGTGGAGTTTCTCCAGCTGGACCAGACTATCATTCTTCCTTTGTGGGTGCTAGTAATAGGGCACTCTTCAGTTTGGGTTGCAGCAGTTTCTCAAGAACAGGTCATGTAGACAGGATCTCAGCTGAGCTGTCTCCTATCCATCCCCCTGCAGCTGTTTACTTCTTTCTTTTCCCCTTGTATCATTTCCTAGATCCAGGTATTGTCTCAAATTCTTGCTTGGGCCTTGCCATGTTTTCTTACCAGACACGGGCACTCTTGTCTTGTGTAAGCAGTGTCCCATCTTCGTCATAATACTCGTCCACACTCAGGCTGCTGTTAGTGTTGTGAGCCCACGTAAAGCCTGTGACCACCCTGGTAGGAATTCCCAGACACCTCAGAACTGTGTGGAAGAAAGAGCTGTGAATCAGTTGTGCATCCTCCCCTAAGGGTGCCTCTGCTGATGGATGTAGAGCCTTTTTTGGTGCTGGGCCTATTAGGAATGGCACCAGGCCTGCTGTTTGGACTTTGCAAGAGGCATTGCCCCTCAGGAAATAAGC